ACGACGGTGCCGGGGCCCCCCACCAACCCAGAACGCACACGACAACACCCGCAGCTCAGATACACTTGACGCACAGACACACGCGGTCACACGTCTGGTCAGGTCGGGCACAGAGACACGCAGGACCCCAGCGTTAGGGTGCTCAGTTCTTCTTTATAGGCTTCTGGGGGCTCTCCACCCCTCTCAAAAGCTCCCCAGGGCTTGTTCCTTTTTGGGGTTACTTTTCCATTGTCCCCTGCACCCTAATTGCCCTTCTTTTCCTCCCCGCGCCTAGAGGTGAGAGTCTGCAAACACTTTTTTCTCTACAGCTCTCGTGCGCAGCGTGCATGTCTGCCGGCTCCCCAGCTGGGCTCACCCGGCCGCTCTGCGGCTGTCGCCTTTGCCCACAGCCTCCTGACCCCTTCAAAGATGCCAAATGCTGCATCACTTGGACACGCCAACACATACCTCACACAGATGCGCGGGCACCCAGGATGGCACAGCTATTCAGACGTGTGGTAGGAGAAACCCAACACAGACAGCCAGGAGAGCCTACTGGACAGTGCCGCCATCACGAGGACCATGTGCACAGGGAGGTCGACTTGCAAGAAGGAGTAAGAAGGAAGCTGCACGCAGCCACTGAGGCACGAGTTCGATCCCCGGCCAGGGAGCTGACCCACAGGGTGCAGCAGACCTCTCCTGTCTCCCCGCTGCTCCCCTCAGCAGTGGATTTCAGTCAATCCGCCTGCTCTGCTCCCCAATCTGTCTCTGGTGAATCCTCTCATTGCCCCTGCACCTCTGGCCTGCACCCCAGTTCTGTATGCATACATAAATCCATCTTTCAAATGAAAAAAGAGTAAGGAAAACAAGCAGACTAGGGAAAGGGAGCGAGGTGGGCAGTCCCGCCCAGGGCTGCATCCCATCAGGACAAGCCCAGGGTGCAGCTTGAGCCCCCCTTCTCCAGAGACTGCCTAGGCCCTCAGCCTCCCTGGAGGGCATCTCATCTAGAAGATCAGCTTCCTAGCTGCAGCTCCAGGAGCAGAGACGCAGCCTGTGGAGGACAAAGGGGAGGGAGGTTCTCTCTCTCCCTTCCTCCCCTCTCCAGGGAAAGCTCTCAGAGCTTACAGCAGAGAATACAGAATCCAGAAGGCAGTTTCAGAAAGCTCGTCCGGCTCCTTCATGCCACAGGTGAGTCAGTCACTCGCCGCCATTACTTCACACGCATCCACCCCAGGGCTCCGCCAAAGTAAACTGAGGTCACAGGTCCCTTCGGGTGCAGAGAGGTGAAATCAAGGCCACACAAAGGTCAGGATCCTGACTCAGGTCTTAGTCTTGCTCTTAACTGGGATATGGGGCCCAGAGAGGAGGAAAGATCTTCCGGGGTCACCACTCACTGCAGAAGCTGCCCCAGGCCCACACACCAGCACATGTCCTGCCTCGGGGCAGCACCCAGGTCAGAGGCTGAGCTCGGGCCAAGCCCCAGGGTCCCTTCCTCGTGCCAACCTCACTGAGAAACGAGCTCCCCCAAAGCACTATTTCATCTTTTTTTTTCAAAAAGATTTATTTATTTAAACCTACAGAACTGGGGTGCAGGGCAGAGGTGCAGGGTGGTGAGAGGATTCACCAGAGACAGAGGGGGGAGCAGAATAGGCACATGGAAGAAGTACACTGCTGAGGGGAGCAGCGGGGAGACAGGAGAGGTCTGCTGCACCCTGTGGGTCACTCCCTGGCCGGGGATCGAACTCAGGCTGCAGTGGCTGCGGGCAGCTTCGTAGTGCTGCGCTTTCACCTGCTGCGCCACCCAGGAGGGCCCCGATTTCATCTTTTTTCACAGCTGAGTCATATTCCACCGAGGACAGACTCCACAATTTCTTAACTCAGTCATCTGTCACTGGTCACTCCGGCTGCTTCCATGTCTTGGCTGCTGGGAACACAGGACCCTGGAATTACACTTCTGCTTTGGAGTCTTTGTGCTCTTTGGGTAAATCGCTGGCAGTGGGGTTGCTGAGTGAGAGACTATTTCCTTTATAATTTTTTTAAAGGTATCTCCCTATACAGAGGCTGCACCAAAATACAAAATACGTGCCTTTGGCGGTGAGCTGGATGGACCCTGGAGTGATTATAAGAAATGAAATAAGTCATAGAGTGATTGCACTCACTTGCAGATGTAAGTAGCCAAAGAATGCAGATTGGCACAGCACAGTGAAAAGAATTCTCAGACTCTGAAAAATACACTGGTTACCAGAGGGGACAGGGAAAGGGGGAGCGGAGGGCGCGAGGATGCCGGCGCAAGAATTTGGTGACAGGTGGGTGACGCATGTGCACAGAGAGAGGTGTGCGAGTGTACCCCAAGTCACACCGAGATGTAAACGACTAACAAATTAATAAAACTTGAGAGAGAATTTAAAAAAGGCTCCCCCATGTCTACCCGCTGCTTGGCAAGGAGCAAGAGGGAAGAGGAGGTGACCCGGCTTGTGGCCAGCCCAGGTGCAGGCTGCTGGTGCGGATTAGGGGGATCGATACCTCGAGACCTGCAGACCTGGGCTAATCCTCCTCCCCTCCTCTTGCCGGTACAAAAACAACAAACAACTTGCCTCTCTCCACTGTCCTCTGTCCCTTCCACTCTGGTCTCAGAGCTCCGCTGCCCACAACACTTGAAGCAAGATGCCAGTCCCAGAGCATCAACCTCACCCACTGGCATTTGGCCAGGTTTGAGGTGGCACAGGGGCAGGATGGCCCGGTGGTCAGAGCCTGCCCAGACCTGCACAGGGCCAGTCCCAGCATCTGCCCAGGGTCCAGGTCAGAGCCTGCTGGGGCCAATGTCAACACGGACACCCTCAAGCCCCCCGAAGCCAACCCAGTGGCCCCCGGCCTGCTCTCTCAGCCTTCTTGGCAACAGAAGTGGTTTCATTAATGCGCTGCTGGGATCCATTTCAGTGCTGATTTGGTTTCAATCCTAGTGTCTACCAGGGAGCAAGTTCAATGTCAACATGCCCCTCCTGCCTCCCCAGTCCTGGCTAATGCCACTCGCAGAACCTGCTGGCATAATCCCCGTATCCAAGGCTGATGCCAACCTCAGCACCCCCTGTTGCAGGGGTCTCCACCTGGACCCCAGTCAGCGAGGAAGTGGAGGAAGCTGTTCAAATCCCAGCTCCCTTACTTAGCGCCTGTGCAACCTCGAATGAACGGCTTTACGAGTCTTAGTCTGAACTGCACTGACCGCACCCTCAGTTAGGGCTCACCAAAGAGCAAGCGTCCTGATTATTAGGGAGCTGTATCACGAGGAAGGAGAGCACACACCCCCACAGCATCTCAGCGCCCACCTCTGTTCCCAAACCTCCCTGCTATAGCTTCCCCTGCCTGCCAGCTGCAGCTCTGACAAACCAGGCGTCACCCCTAAATGGGACAGATACCCCCCTCTCCACCCAGATGCTCCTTTCCCACCTGTGAAGAAACCCAACCCGAAAAGAAGGGCTCAGGGCACAGCCACGGCCCCCTGCCCACTCTGTCTGCTGCCCTCAGCACCCCCACATATGCCACAGGGCACATGCAGTTACAGTAGTAATAGGAATAACAAATAGGCCCTTCCTGGTGGTGCAGTGGGTTAGGGCGCAGCTCTGCAAGCTGGCTGCAGACGCTGCAGTGAGAGTTCGATCCCCACCTGGCCTGCAGGTGACCACATGGCGCCGCAGACCTCACCTGACCCGCCTGCTGCTCCCCTCAGCTGTGTGCTTCGTCAGTCTGCCTGTTCTGCTCCCCACTCTGTCTCTAGTGAATCCTCTCACAGCCCCTGCACCTCTGACCTATCTTTTTTAAAAAAATAAGGAATAGGGCCCTCCCTGGTGGCGCAGCGGGTTAAAGCACAGCACTGAGAGGCTAAAGCCACTTCCACATGAGTTCGATCCCCGCCTGCCCCGGAGGTGACCCCATGGCGCAGCAGACCTCTCCTGGCCCGCCCGCTGCTCCCCTCAGCAGTGTACTTCGTTGATCTGCCTGTTCTGCTCCCCACTCTGTCCCTCGTGAATCCTCTTACCCTCCGCATCTCTGGCCTGTACCCCAGTTCTGTATGAATAAATAATAAAATAAATCTTTAAAAAAAAATAAGGAATTAAGAATAATAGGATGAGCCACCCACCTTGGGAGCTTCCCAAAGCATCTAGATAGGAAGCAAGTGGGACTCAGTTAATTCTAACCTTTGAATCAATTGGCATTTTTGCTACCAGACTGGTGGTGGTTATTATTTTCTGCTTCTCAGGCCTTCCGCCACCTGAGACGACAAATTCGCCTCTCTTTTTAAGTGGAAAGTTCCACTCAATGTTACCCTGGACTTCTGCTCCTTTACCAAACAGGGATGGGCAGCTCTGTGCTGCCTTTGAAGTGCCGAAAGGACTCTGGCATCCAAAGGTAGCCAGAGGTATTGTGTCCACATCAAAAAGCAGGTCAACACTTGGCATGCGGGTTTTGAAGCCTTGATCCCACACTGGGCCCCCTGGATACCTTTCCTCCCCGGAACCCAGCACCCAGGGGGGCCTTTCTCACTCCAGGACCCTCAAATTCATTCCGTGGAATCTCCCCTTCTGAGGCCTTTCAGCCGACATCCCTCCTTTAGCTAGAGATCCCCAAATCTAGCTCCCATCCTGTCTCATTCCACTACCATAAATCCAGCTCTGTGGAATCTTCTGAGATTCCAAATCAAAGGTCAGAGGTACCTGTGGGCAAATATTCCAAAATCCTCCCTTCTGAAATGTCTCCACTGCCCCCAAGCCCATAGCCCCTGGTGGTCCGTCCTCTCTTCCTCGGGGGTCACAAATTCAGTCTCTAGCCCACTCCCTATTAATCTGCCCTGGGGCCCCCTCTCCCGCCCCTGTTGGCTGAGTCCCAAAGTAGGCGGGGACCCTGCTGGGGGTGCAGCTGAGAGGTGAAGTGAGACAATTATATAACCAGGACTAAAGTCCTCCCGCTCTCCCAGGTAATATAAAGGCAGGCCTTGCGGGCTTCCCCACCTGACCCGCTCACTCAGCGCCACCATGCTGGCCTCGGGGCTGCTGCTGGTGGCTTTGCTGGCCTGCCTGACCATCATGGTCGTGATGTCTGTCTGGAAGCAGAGAAAGCTCTCGGGGAAGCTGCCCCCGGGGCCCACCCCACTGCCCTTCATCGGAAACTACCTGCAGCTGAACACTGAGCAGATGTACAACTCCCTCATGAAGGTGCCATGAGGCGGGAAGATGGGGGTCGGGAGGGCTGTGGGGAGGCCTGGGGCTTTATGGCAGGGCACTGGCCAGATGAGACCACAGTCTCCGCACAGGGGCTTTTGGGGGGTTCGGGGTCAGAGTCCTACTAGGAAAGTCCAGCTTTAGGAGGTCCAACTCCCTGCCTGTCCAAAGCGGGGGAGGGGTGCGGGGGGGGTGCCTCCCTGCCTGGAGGCCTGGCGCAGGGTCAGTGCAGAAACCCCGGCCGCTGGCCTCCCTCAGATCAGCGAGCGCTATGGCCCGGTGTTCACCGTGTACCTGGGGACGCGGAGGATAGTGGTGCTGTGCGGCCATGACGCCGTGAAGGAGGCCTTGGTGGACCAGGCCGAGGAATTCAGCGGGCGGGGAGAGCAGGCCACCTTCGACTGGCTCTTCAAAGGCTACGGTGAGGGGCCCGGGCCGGGGCGCAGGCCTGTTTCTCCAGCCTCTCAGGCGCAGTGTCCACTCGGCCCGGTGGCCCGGCCCTGGCCTGCTCTGTCCTCTGTCGCGGCCCTTCTGCTGGTCTTCTCTACCCGGCCAGGGTCTCTGCATCTCTCCGCCCCGTTTCTCTCACGCAGACTTGTTTCTCTGTACCTCCTGGAAGCTCGCCAGCTTCTGCTCTGGAACCTCGCCAGCTTCTGCTCTGGAACCTGGCTCTAGCTCTGTGTGACTTTCCGGCCTCTTCTCCTCCTCAGTTTCTGTGCTTCTCCACGTTTCTCTCCCTTGTCTTGGCAACTTGCATTATTTCTTCCTCAGAGTCTGCAGGGCTCCATCAACCCCCCCTCACCCCGCCCCCCAACTACTCTCCCTCTCCTCATACCTCACTGCACCTTTGTCGGATCTGATCTGCCACTCCTGGTTCTGGTGTCCCAACTTCTGCCTCTTCCTGCTCCCACCCCCTCACCTTTCCCTCGCCTCTCCTTACCTCCTTGTCTATCTCCTTCCCCCTTTCCCTTCCTGGCCCCCCATCTTCAGCTCCTCTCCCCTCACCCTTCCTCACCCTTTCTCTCAGTACCTGTCTTGTCTGCCCCAGCCCATCTCTGCTCACCCCCGGGAGCCTGCCTCGCGGGCGGCGCCCTCTGCGCGCCCGCACGGCCTTTCCTGCCCTCCAACGCCGCCGCCCGCTGCCCCGCAGGCGTGGCGTTCAGCAACGGCGAGCGCGCCAAGCAGCTGCGGCGTTTCTCCATCACCACGCTGCGGGACTTCGGCCTGGGCAAGCGCAGCATCGAGGAGCGCATCCAGGAGGAGGCGGGCTTCCTCATCGAGGCTTTCAGGGACACAAAAGGTGAGCAGGGGGCTGGGTGTGCAGGAGACGCCCGCAGACGGCGCGCGCTCAGCGCGGGGAGGCGCGCGCTCCGGGTCTGGGTCTGGCGCTGGGGAGTCCGGACGGCGCCCGCCTGCAGTTCTCCGATCCGCATCAGACCGTCCCCCCAACATCCCTGTCTCTCCCGGGCCCACCCCACCCTCCAGGCGCCTTCATCGACCCTACCTTCTTCCTGAGCCGAACTGTCTCCAATGTCATCAGCTCCATTGTCTTCGGGGACCGCTTCAACTATGAGGACAAAGAGTTCCTGTCCTTGCTGCGTATGATGCTGGGAAGCTTCCAGTTCACAGCTACCTCTACGGGACAGGTAGGCTCCCCGCCTCCAGCCCGAGGCCCTGGGGCTGCCCACCACAACCTGCCAGCTGCCCACCCTCCTCCAGTCAGGGTCCCTTCGAAGCAGTCCCCAGGACAGACGCCTAATACCGGCCTCCTAAGACACCTGACAGACACCCAATACCCAGTACCTGGCCTCATAGGATGCCTGGATAGCACAACAGGCACTTTCACTGCCTTCCCCACAAGCAAATCAATCTGAAGGCTCTTCCGGGTCTATAAGTCAGCTCGAGTTCCTCCTGACTCACCACAAGTGCTAACAGGTGCTCTCTGTTAGATCATCTGAATTCCTTAGCATGTCAACAAGTGACCACCTCAGCCCACTTCCTGAATACCTGGACCCCTGGTGCTACAACATTCACCAAAATTATTTAATAGCCACACAGATGTCTCACACGGGTCCCCTGGGCTAACTGAACAAATGCCCCGACCCCACCCATTTAAATATCTGAACCCCAACTAAGACCTGTTTAAGCACACATACCTAGATATTCTCCAAACATCCAAATAAGTGTCCCTCACTCACTTAACCCCTACAGAGATGATGCCCTTAGGAACCCCACTTGTACATGGTACCTGAACAGATTTTTTCCCCCATTTTAACAAATGACTACCAGCTCCACTTTAATAACTGAACCCCTTTCCAGAGCCCCCCAATCCAGACCCCCTTAAATATCTAGCTAGTAGTCTCCAGCTGAGCACCCCTGAATGCCTAAACCTGTCTAAGTCATCCCTCTCCAAACCAGTCCCACCCAGTAAACAGGTGTCACCCCAACCTCACCTAGCTCCCAGGTAAATAGCTGGAATCTGTATACATGTCCCAACCCAGCTCACCTAAATTCCTGGTCAGGGGCACTCACACTTGGCTCAGGGAACCCAGATGTCTGTTCCCTACCAGCCCCACGTAAACCCTGGACAGGTGCCTTCAACTCAGCGCCTTCGTGGTCGAGGGTGGGTCCCGCCCCACTCAGGTCCTGCCCAGTGACAGCGCCCCCCCTCCCCCACCCTCAGCTCTATGAGATGTTCTCCTCGGTGATGAAGCACCTGCCGGGACCGCAGCAACAGGCCTTTAAGGAGCTGCAGGGGCTGGAAAACTTCATAGCCAAGAAGGTGGAGCGTAACCAACGCACCCTGGACCCCAACTCCCCCCGGGACTTCATCGACTCCTTCCTCATCCGCATGCAGGAGGTACGACCCAGGGGCCGGTGCCTGCTGGGAGGGCCACAGCCAGGTGGGGCAGTCAGGTTTGGGGTGAGGGCAAAGAGAGGCCCCTTGAAAGTCATACGAAATGACATAAAAAAATGACAAACAGGCCCTCCCTGGTGGCACAGCACTACGGAACTCTCCACCGCCACTGCAGCACGAGTTTGATCCCCGGCCAGGGAGCTGACCCACATGCAGGGCAGACCTCTCCTGACCCGCCCACTGCTCCCCTCAGAGGTGTACTTCAGTCTGCCTGTTCTGCTCCCCATTCTGTCTGGGGCATCCTCTCACCCACCGCACCTCTGACCTGTACCCCAGTTCTTATATGCATTTAAAAAAATCTTTAAAAAAAAAAAAAAAAGACAAACTGAGAAGAAAAGAACAAAGACTCAGACTGCAAAGAGCGTGGAAAAGCATTTTGGTCAGAGCCAGCAGAATGGGCACATGCCAGAGAGAGCCTGGCAGAAATAGGGTCCCTGCTCCACCTGTGGTCTGTGATCTAGGCGAGGCGGAGCTCAGGAAAACCAGAAGGGCCACGAGAGCCTGGGGAGGGGCTCAGCCTGAAGCCGTCTCTCCCTGCAGGAGCAGAAGAACCCCAACAGCGAGTTCTTCATGAAGAACCTGGTGCTGACCACGCTGAACCTCTTCTTCGCGGGCACCGAGACTGTCAGCACTACCCTGCGCTACGGCTTCCTGCTGCTCATGAAGCACCCAGATGTGGAGGGTAAGGCTGTGGGGGCAGGCAAGGAAGGGGGGTCACAGGCCCAAGATCTCTGTGTCCACTGCAGTGACCCCTGCCCCGCCCAGAACCCCGGAGCCTCACACCTGCGCTGTTGGCTGAGTCTCCTGCTGTTCAATACTGAAACTCTCCAGAGGGGCTGACAGGCAGCTCCTGCCTGTGCAGAGCCCATCTGCACCCTCTCCCTGCTCACCCCGGCCACCCCAGCCCTGATTCTGGCATTGCCACGTGCCAAGGACCCCGACCCCACCATGCATGGGGCCAACGTGTTTTTGAAGTCAAGCACAGAGTGTGCAAGTCATGATCAGGGTGTCATAGATGGGCTATCGAGGACTCCCAGTTACCCAAACACACTCCGTTCCTCCCCCAGCCAAGCTCCATGCGGAGATTGACCGGGTCATTGGCAAGAACCGTCAGCCCAAGTTTGAGGACCGAGCCAAGATGCCCTACACGGAGGCAGTGATCCATGAGATCCAAAGATTCGGAGACATGATCCCCATGGGCCTGGCACGCAGAGTCACCAAGGACACCAAGTTCCGGGACTTCTTCATCCCCAAGGTGCTGCCCCGCCCAGCCCAGAGGGACCTCCCACCTGCTTGGGTCATGTGACCCAGCACCCCCTTCCCCTGAGAAATTTCCCTGGTCCCGCCCTACCCCTCAATCTAAGACTTCCCC